TCGTGTAGCTTTGCGCGAAATTCAAAAACAACAAACAAAATCCCCCATCTCATAAAAGAAAAGACAGAGTCACTTAAGAGTTCCCCGTTTACCTGCCTATCTGTAAAACTCGACCAATTAAGATCGTTCGACAAGATAAGTACTTTAAAACTATTTTTAAACATATTTAAAGAATATTGTACTGGAATGATAAACATAACAGAGAAAGGAACTCTAATTAGTATTACCTTTACCGAAACCAAAGAAGTGTGCCAAAATCGTCTTACACTTTGATTTACACTTACCCTTATCAGAATAAGTAGTTAATGTTCACAGGTAACAGTTGTTTCTTTCGTACGTAGATACCGAACACAAATATATTCAGTTTCAAACACTGAATTCTCGGCCAGAATGCTTCGAATCTCCGACTCGGATACTATTAGGGAGAGCTAGCGAACAGATCTCGCAAGCTCTGGAACTTTGCTGCAGAATGACCGTCAGAAGCTCAAGCTGACTGCTTGATTGGCTTCCTAAGAAGATTAACGCACAGGTGGTGCGTCTGGGCGAATTCAACGAAACCCCCCCTGAGGTTCTACGCAACTCCTGGCGGGAAGTATGCGTGCAAGTCGCGTGAGCACGGGCAGAGAAAAACACTACGTGATTATTAGGAGCTTGACAAGTAAATATCAACATGTGCTGATGCTACTGTATGTTATTGGTCTACGAAAGGATCCATCCCGTTTGGAACTAGTTAATGAAATATTTAAATGAGAGTTATAATGACATAAAAACCAATAAACCTTGAAGTTTGTCTCATCCCAACCAGGGGGGGTACATCATCACACAACACACTGATTTTTGTAGTTGGAACTAAACGGAGAGGCCCTCTTTCATATACATATATGCATTTTTGTGTATGTGTATAAGAAACAGCACAAGTCACTCTACTTGAGAGACTTCCAGTTGGCATACGTTCAAACATTTCTTGTATCTCTCCCTTAAAAAAATTTACTACAAAGTAGCTTATCCATCATCATCCAGACATGATAATGTAAGTAATGTAATTATAATTCATGATAAACCATTGTTATATGGTGAAAAGTCACGCAGAAAGAAGTTTCGTCATAACTATATATATATAAACTAGTAAACAGATTCTACTCTGGATTTCATAATACTCGAAGATTCTGTACACATTGAATAGAATGAAGCGTTTTAAAAATTTTCTTCAGAAGCTTCTAATTACAATATAATCCTATTTTATGCACGTTTAAAATAATTTCAAAATCAAAATATAAGTTCGAAACTTTAAAATCGTCGATCAGTTAACCAGAATGCAATGGTTTTGATTTCCTTCCAGTTGTATATCGTGTGAAGATCCCATTCTTTCCTCCCAATCATTCGTTTTAAATCTTTACCTCGGTAAGAAATTGGAATGTCCACATCATTGGTGCTCTCATAAGAAAATCCAATTTATATCTGAACAATACAGAATAAACACAGGTATACTTGAGAGAAGGAGCTTAAGTTGGTTTAGTTAAAGCAACTATCCTGTACACCTTCTCCTACTATGAAACTAGTTTCGCGCTACAGCCCTGTCAATCCGCTCCTACTATGAAACTAGCTTCATGCTACAGCCCTGCAAATCCTTTCCTACTATGAAACTAGCTTCATGCTACAGCCCTGTCAATCATCTCCTACTATGAAACTAACTTGATGCTACAGCCCTGTCAATCCGCTCCTACTATGAAACTAGCTTCATGCTACAGCCCTGTACGTTCTCCCCAACTAAGAAACTAACTCTGTGCTGCTAATCTGTACGTTCTTTTAAACTACAGTCCTGTACGTTTAGTGCAGGATTTATGAAACTAGCTTCATGTTATTAACAAGTACGTCCTCCCCAACTAAGAAACAAGCTTCCTGCTATTATCCTGTAAAACTTCTTCAAGCTAAGAATCTAATTTAATCATATCACGCTATGTCTTCTACGAACTAAAAACTAACTTAAAATATCGTTAACTGATGAAACAATGAATTCTAATTTTTATAAGTAAAAACGTAGTAAAAGTATATTTAGCCAGCTAAGTTTCGCTCTAAGTGGATTAGCTTAATTTCATCGGAAATAAATATTAATGCATAGTATTATGCTGTAAGTTTTTATACAAACTAAAATACGCTAGCCTTATCCTAATATTCAGAACATCTTCTACGCACTAAATTAAATAAATTATAGTCACATTTTAATTAATACAGACAATAATGTCTTGTTCTCGTTCAGCTGTGGTCTCTTTGATTGGATCAAGGTAGTGTTTTTGATTCTTAGATATCGGACAACGATTCTGAACTGCCCTCAACGCACTGGAACTTATATAATCTAATATGCTCCTTTAATCTCTTTTTTTTTTGGGGGGGGGGGGATTTCACACTGTTTATGTGGGTCAAGTTATACTTGTCAAATTCATACTCATATACCACACCTATTTGTTTGTTTTTGGCGTGATTGTTGTTAAGCGCAAAATTACACCACCGGCCATTCCAACATGTGGTCACTACGGGAATCGAAACCCGATTTCTAACAGTACTACATCTGACACTTATGGTTTGGGTATCTGATCCTTTACAATAACTAAATTCTTGATACAAAATTTCAGTTTAAACAGAGTTTCCAGTTGTAAATTGGGGTCGACTTAATACACCAAAAACTTTAATATCCTACGTACGTAATGTTAAATAAAATCTTATTTCGGCCCACTGCAAGATGATACTTCAGAGTTGGAGACAGCCTGTGATGTCAAAACCTTGTCGAAACGTTGTACATTTGCTGTTGTGTTAAACTTATATTAAAGTTTTTCTTCATTACCCATTCAAGCCGTCTCCAACCATTATCAGTCTCAGAGTGGGTTCCTCGTCATCGAATACTTCAGAGTTGATTACTTTATTTAAGTAAACTTAATACCTTTATTAATGAGATTCAATGGGTAAGCATTCAGCTGTAACTTGCTTTCCAGATGCTCTGATAAACCCTAAGCACTAACCCTTGAACTAAACTAGCTCTATATTGTATAGAAAGAAGACAAACTGTCCAGACGAGACCACAACCTGTTATACTGACTGTCACAAAACTGACCATCATTTCTTTTTAATGTATATCTAAAAAAGAGGTAATTTCTAATTCATTTCTTATGATAATGATTCACGTGTTCAAGAACATCGTTTCGAACTGTGAAAAAGAAAGCTTATAATACGATTGTCTTTAGAAGGCATAGGTTTTAGTTTTAAGCTTTTGTGGGGTTATTGTCAACTTATAAGTCAGCTCTTAACATATTTAATGACCATATGAGATGAGAATCATTAGTTTAATATAACGTTTTTATAGGAGATGAGAGTCATTAGCTTAACATGTCGTTTTTATAGGAGATGAGAGTCATTAGCTTAACATGACGTTTTTATAGGAGATGAGAGTCATTAGTTTAACATGACGTTTTTATAGGAGATGAGAGTCATTAGCTTAACATGACGTTTTTATAGGAGATGAGAGTCATTAGTTTAACATGACGTTTTTATAGGAGATGAGAGTCATTAGTTTAACAGGACCTTTTTATAGGAGATGAGAGTCATTAGTTTAACATGACCTTTTTATAGGAGATGAGAGTAATTAGTTTAACATGACGTTTTTATAGGAGATGAGAGTTATGAGTTTAACATAACGTTTTTTTAAATTCTAACAGTAAATTTCATCAACCGATTCATGTTTATTTTATGCATTCATGCGTATTTTGATAAAAATCTACTTGGTTATTGACGTGTTTTTTTTCTTTCGAAATTATGATTCATTAGGCATTGCCATCGCAAGGATTGACTCTAAACGTACACTATCTTATTTTTCGTTCATAGCTTTCAACTTTTAACAAAATTTGACTTTACATACTTAAACAAGTCTTGTACTACAATATCTTGTAATCTACGGTTTTCTAGTGGTAAATCTCTGGTAAAAATATTATCAAATACACATAGAATTGTACGTGTAAACTATTTTCATCATTTTGAAAAGGTTCACGTAAAATTTTACAAACATAAGGAGTTTCTTAAGTTATGTAAATGGCACATTTTTTCCCCAGATTGTTACAGTTTAATGTTTTGTCGCATTTAAGATATCCCCAGTGGGTCAACAGTAAGTTTACAGACCTAGAACGCTAAAATCCGGAGTTCGATTCCCTGTGGTAGACAGAGAACAGATATACTATTATGTAGCTTTGCACTAAAACAAACAAGCATTTAAGGTATGATCAACAATAGTGACAATCACAAAAAAAAATTTAAATTCAGAATTAAAGCACAAAAACACAGACAGAACCTCAACAACATGTTTTCAACATCTAAACAAACAGTTAAGAATAAAATCAGTAGATTTCACAATTATGTGAGTTGCGGAAAAAGCTGTTACATACCCCCCAAACTTCCTACGCTATGCCTAACAATGGTCAAAATGTAGTTCTAATACATTCCGTTCCACCACGGCTTTGTACCGGCTGTGGTTGCCACGTGACTTAATTATTTTAATATTCATAATCGTTTTTATATAACGTTACCAACCCTCTGTATAATACGTGATCAGTATATATAGCCCCCAGTAGCACAGCGGTATGTCTGCGGACTTACAACGCTAGAATCCAGGTTTCGATACCCGTGGTGGGCAGAGCACAGATAGCCCATTGTGTAGCTTTGTGCTTAACTTCAAAAACAACAACAAAAAACAAACAATATTTATAAATATTCAAGGGGGCGCTTCTTTTTGAAATTGATGTTGTTTATCTCATAATTCCAGTATTGTCACTTAACTAACCGTAGCCCTTGACCTCCTACACCAGCTCCATCTGCACAACATTCGGTCTCTTTATACAGAGATCAGCGGTAGTTACTTGTACAGGGTCCTCCATACGTGTAAACATATTCATTTAGTTTGCAAATAATAATGACAGTAAATACATATTTTTTTTGCGCGATGAAAATATTTTGATGTGAGATAATGCTGGACGAATATTACGGTTCATATTAAAATGGAAAAATATGTTTATTTTATCATATGCATGGAATTTCTACTTTTACACTCCAGCAGTTATCTCCAATTCTAAATTTATGTTTGATAAAAAAAGTTCACATAGCTTCTACTAAGAAATAAGAAAACATTTTTCCCCCTTTTCAACGACTTAATATGGCCAACTGCTTTATCAAATCCGTCAAATTTCAATGTTTGACACATGATTGTATCTATAGGACTTGGTCCATCAAGACTATTTATGATTGTACTTATAAGTCTTGATCCATCAAGACTGTTAATGTGTAACACGTGATTGTATTTATAAGACTTGATCCGTCAAGACTATTTATGTTTAACACATGATTGTACTTATAAGATTTGATCCATCAAGACTGTTTATGTGTTAAACTATATCATATTTATAAGACTTGATTCATCAAGACTGTTTATGTGTTAAACCTTATAACACCGAAATCTATACATATAACCAAAATGAGGTGCGATAAATCAGGTGAACAATACCTGTTCTTAAAGAATACCTTTATTGGGCAAGAGAAGGTATATAACTGCAGCTTTTTTAGGTCTACGGTCTGTTTAAATACAGTAATTAACTAGTTA